TGAAATCAAGATGGGAGAGATCGGAACCAAATGGGTGGAGGTGGCCGAAAAGAAAAAAGCTAGTAGCAGTTGGAGCGGATATCAGAAGGGGCAACCCGAAACAACACCCTACCACTGGGGGCAGCCCAGGCCCCACCTACACTCCAAGGAAAACCCTAAACACCTTATTGTCCCACCACACCAGTCTCCAGCAACCCACCTCGCCCCAGTGACCAGTCAGCTTGGCGATGTTTTAAATGCAACGAGCTGGGGCATGTGAAGGCCAACTGCTCCAAGACCCCCAACAGATTGTAGTTCATTACACCAGAATCACACCAAAGGTCTCCAGGCCCAGATGCCTCCCAGATACCCTCAGAGCGAAGGGAAACTGTGAGTGTGGGTGGGAAGAAGGTTATTGCATGGAGGGACACTGGAGCACAGATGTCAGCTATCCACCAATCCTTAGTGGACCCCAAATTCATCAACCCAGAGGCCCAAGTGACGATTCAACTTTTCATGTCAAACTCTTTAAACTTGCCTACAGCCAAGTTGCCTGTCCAGTACAAGGGCTGGTCAGGAATGTGGACTTTTGCAGTCTATGATGATTATCCCATTCCCATGCTGCCGGGGGAAGACTTGGCCAACCATGTGAAGCTAGCCAAGAGGGTGGGAATGGTCACCTGTAGCCAGGCTAAGTGAGCCTCCACACCTACCGCTGTTTCTGAGCGTTCTACCCGGGCCCCGTCTGTGTTACCAGAGCCCTAAACTGAGGTGGTTGAACCGGATACCCTGCCAACGACTGCAACAGCCGTAGTGGATCCAGTCCCAGAGTCCCAACCAGAACCAGTCCTAGAACCAGAATGGGCGGAGCAACCAGCATCAGAACCAGCTCTGAATCCAGCGCTTGCAACCCCATCTACAACTCCAACGCCAGAGGGCACCACCGAGCCTGCCCTGGCAGCAGCGGATAAACCTACGCAAGAGGCTCAGCCAGAGCCTGAAACGAAACATAGTGCACCAGCAGAAAGCGGTCCACAGACCACGGAAACAACCCCCATCTCCTACATCGCTTCCAGAGGGACCAAGCCCAAGTCCACAATCCAATGAGGAACTGATGTCTCCAGCATCAATAGAACAGCTCCAGTCCGAGAAGGAAGCAGATGAAAGCCTCCAGGGAGCCTGGACGGTGGCACAGAGCAACCCACCGCCTCTCAGCTCTTCTAATTTATCTTCTAATTTAGGGACCGAATGGCTAGGCAGCAGTTCTGTGGAAAAGGACCTAGGGGTGACAGTGGACGAGAAGCTGGATATGAGTCAGCAGTGTGCCCTTGTTGCCAAGAAGGCCAATGGCATTTTGGGATGTATAAGTAGGGGCATAGCGAGCAGATCGAGGGACGTGATCGTTCCCCTCTATTCGACATTGGTGAGGCCTCATCTGGAGTACTGTGTCCAGTTTTGGGCCCCACACTTCAAGAAGGATGTGGATAAATTGGAGAGAGTCCAGCGAAGGGCAACAAAAATGATTAGGGGTCTGGAACACATGAGTTATGAGGAGAGGCTGAGGGAGCTGGGATTGTTTAGCCTGCAGAAGAGAAGAATGAGGGGGGATTTGATAGCTGCTTTCAACTACCTGAAAGGGGGTTCCAAAGAGGATGGCTCTAGACTGTTCTCAATGGTAGCAGATGACAGAACGAGGAGTAATGGTCTCAAGCTGCAGTGGGGGAGGTTTAGATTGGATATTAGGAAAAACTTTTTCACTAAGAGGGTGGTGAAACACTGGAATGCGTTACCTAGGGAGGTGGTAGAATCTCCTTCCTTAGAGGTTTTTAAGGTCAGGCTTGACAAAGCCCTGGCTGGGATGATTTAACTGGGAATTGGTCCTGCTTCGAGCAGGGGGTTGGACTAGATGACCTTCTGGGGTCCCTTCCAACCCTTATATTCTATGATTCTATCCCGGTTTGTTGTAGAAAGAGGACTTTTATACAAAGAAACTCTTTCTGATGGGCACCAGGAGAACTGGCATCCTCAAAGAGAGTTGGTAGTTCCAACTAAGTACTGGGTAAAGCTCTTGTGCTTAGTCCTCAATGATCCGAGTGGCTATGCTGGGGTGAACAGGACCAAAGACCGTTTGCGGAAGTCCTTCCACTGGGAGGGAATGGGCAAGGATGTTTCTCTTTATGTCCGGTCTTGTGAGGTGTGCCAAAGAGTGGGAAAATCCCAAGACCAGGTCAAAGACCCTCTCTTTATAATAAAGTTCTTCTTTTAAGAACCTGCTTGATTTTAGTGTCCTAAAGATAAAGGGTCTGGTCTGTACTTTTATTAAAGGCATTGGTTGGTATATTATTCTCAAGCCTCCCCAGGAAAGGGGGTGAAGGGGCTTGGGGGACTATTCTGGGGAAATGGGGACTCCAAGTGGCCCTTTTCCTGAATCTTTGCCTAAATCACTTGGTGGTGGCAGCAATACCGTCCAAGGACAAGGAAAGGATTTGTGCCTTGGGAAGTCTTAACCTAACCTGGTGGAAATAAGCTTAGGGGGTCTTTCATGCGGGTCCCCACATCTATACCCCAGAGCTCAGAGTGGGGAGGGAACCCTGACAACTCCATTGAAAGATGTTGTTCTCACTACACTTGTAACAGATAACACTATCTCTTCAAGGCAGGGGGAGAAAAATTTTGCATTTGGGAAGCTTCACAAGGGGGTGGGGCCCAATACAAAGAGATTCCAGAGGGAGGGGCCAAGGGCAGGCATGGTTGCAGTGAACCCTTTCCTTGCCAAAACCTCAAACACATGCCTGAATTTATTTGAGCATAAGCTTTCGTGAGCTACAGCTCACTTCATCGGATGCATGCAGTGGAAAATACAGTAGGGCAATTTTATATACACAGAGAACATGAAACAATGGGTGTTACCATACACACTGTAACGAGAGTGATCAGGTAAGGTGAGCTATTACCAGCAGGAGAGAAAAACAAAAACACTAACCCAGGAATCTATCCTTCCAACAAAGCCTGTTGCCAACTGTGTCCACACATCTATTCAGGGGACACCATCATAGGGCCTAATCACATCAGCCACACTATCAGAGGCTTGTTCACCTGCACATCTACCAATGTTATATACGCCATCATGTGCCAGCAATGCCCCTCTGTCACGTACATTGGCCAAACTGGACAGTCTCTACGTAAAAGAATAAATGGACACAAATCAGACATCAAGAATTATAAAATTCAAAAACCAGTCGGAGAACACTTCAATCTTTCTGGTCACTCGATTACAGACCTAAAAGTCGCAATATTACAACAAAAAAACTTCAACAACAGACTCCAATGAGAGACTGCTGAATTGGAATTAATTTGCAAACTGGACACCATTAAATTAGGCTTGAATAAAGACTGGGAGTGGATGTGTAATTACACAAAGTAAAACTATTTCCCCATGTTTCCCCCCCCCCCACCCCCAACTGTTCCTCACACGTTCTTGTCAATTTCTGGAAATGGCCCATCTTGATTATTACTACAAAAGGTTTTTTTTCTCTCTCTCTCTCCTGCTGGTAATAGCTCACCTTACCTGATCACTCTCGTTACAGTGTGTATGGTAACACCCATTGTTTCGTGTTCTCTGTGTATATAAAATCGCCCTACTGTATTTTCCACTGCATGCATCCGATGAAGTGAGCTGTAGCTCACGAAAGCTTATGCTCAAATAAATTTGTTAGTCTTTAAGGTGCCACAAGTACTCCTTTTCTTTTTGCGGATACAGACTAACACGGCTGCTACTCTGAAACATGCCTGAATTGAGAACCTTCTCCAAAGAGGCAGGAGAATCTGTATCTGACCACCCACTGGGGTACACAAAGGGATTGGGAAATGCAATAGACACTGAACAAGCCAAACTGCGTGAACAGCGTCTGTTTGTCATAAATTGGCTGTTAATCTTGTGTCTTTTGCTACTCCATTTATGGGTGAAGACAAAGACGTTAATAGTAATGGTAAACCCTTTGAAGATGTGCTACATACCTAATTTTTGGGAAAAAAACTTTTGTATGTGCTTGGGAGAGTGACACATCCGATGAAGTGAGCTGTAGCTCACGAAAGCTTATGCTCAAATAAATTGGTTAGTCTCTAAGGTGCCACAAGTACTCCTTTTCTTTTTGTGAATACAGACTAACACGGCTGTTACTCTGAAACCTTTTCTTTGTGGTTTTTGATCATACAGAATGCATTCAGGTCATGTTTTCAAGTTTTTAATCTGTAATCACAAGGGTAAGACATTTCTTTTTTAAATAAAAGGAAAGCTGAGATTCTCCCATAACCCCAGGTTCTAGAGCTTTAAGAAAAACACCACATATTGTGAAACTCTGCAATAAAATCACAGGCAACGCTCCTGTAGCGTCCAGGCCTGGCATTAAGCACCTGTCACAAGTGCTCAATTCACATTACAATATTCAAGGGAAAGATCATTTTTAGAAACTAGAATTACGACTGAAAATAGCCTGAAGTGGTGCCAATAAGCGCCAAACGCAGATCTGGGGCATATCTGAGCCGTGTCCGCTCTGAGACGCACAGGGCTATGCAGAGCCTCGGGGACACTGCCCGCAAGGAGACTGGGCGTCGGAAGAGCTCTGGCTCGAGGTGGGGCCCACTGCTTGCCAGCTCCTCCCAAACAGAGTCCTCGGGCAGCCTAAGGGCGGGCGGCGGGAACCCATTCACCGATGTACACAGACTCCCACCACCTCCCGCCCAGACATACATCCCCCTATCGACCCCTTCCCACGGAGGGAGCCCCCATCTCCTTGGTCCCCCTTCCTGGACTCCGCTTCCCAACTCAGACAGATCTAGGCACCAGCTGTAGCGCGCCGCTTCAACCAGTCCCCCGCTGCCCCGGTGCAGCAGAAACGTTCCTCTCCGTACAGCAGCCCGGCTCTGCCCTAGCCCAAGGAGCGCGCCCCTCGGCTGAGCAGCCGAGCGCTTCCGGGGGAGCTGACGGCGGGTGTGTTTCCATTGCTACGGGAAGTTCCGGGTTAGGGTGGTGCACCGCCCTAGGGCGGCAGAGACTCGTGTGAGGGATCGTGCGTTGGGAACTAGTCCGGGCTGGGGAGCTTGGTGCCCGAGGGGAGAAAATAAAGAAGGGGGAGGAGGAAGAGGGGACTGGGGGGGCAGTAGCATCAGCATCTCTCTGGTCCGTCTGTGCTGAGCCTGCCGGTCTGGCCCGTGAGCTGCCACTGCCATGGCTCGTAAGAAGCTGTACCGCCCAATCGCCGCCATGGCCAAGAAGATTCGTGAGTATCGGGCACTGAAGAACCGTCCCCGAGACTCCCAGCGGTTCGCCCTGGATTACGAGACCATGATCCGACCCTTCACGAACAAACGCCTGCCCGTGCTGGCCTGGGAGGATGTGAAGAACGAGAACCGCCTCTTCACGCTGCTTTGCCAGCTGCGGCTCTTTGGCATCGGCCGCATGGTCACCCGCAAGTATTGGCTCTGGCAGTATGACGAGCCCTGCTACTGGGTCGTTACCAAGGTCAGGGTGGACTACACAGCTGAGGTGAGAGCCCTTGACTGTTGGCGTTGAGGTTTGAAGGCACTCAGATACTGTACTATGATAACAGGCACCATAGATAGAGACAAGGCCGGTGGAAATGAGGCCTTCCAGTGAGATCTGCTCTCCTGAAAGCTGGATCTCAAAACACCATTGTTTCAGAGTAACAGCCGTGTTAGTCTGTATTTGCAAAAAGAAAAGGAGTACTTGTGGCACCTTAGAGACTAACCAATTTATTTGAGCATAAGCTTTCATGCATCCGATGAAGTGAGCTGTAGCTCACTAAAGCTTATGCTCAGATAAATTGGTTAGTCTCTAAGGTGCCACAAGTACTCCTTTTCTTTTTGTGAAAACACTATTGTGCAACCCTGTTGCCTCTCTTATATCGCAACTCCATATTCAAACGCTTGAATCTCCTCTCGTCATGCGTGCCCCAGGAAGCACCAGGTCATGGATTCAGAGCAGGCACCATGTAATGAAAACCTACAATTTAGGAAGGCCTGAGGGAGGGTATGATAGTACCTGAGCACTGTAGAAACAATGGTATCAGTCTGAGCCACTATGTTTCAGAGTTCAGAACACTGATTAGTATTTGTAATACAGATTATGTATGAACATAAGGATCAGGACCTTAATGGTGGCACATGGAGTCATTACAGGGCTGATAGTAGGCAGTATATAGTATTGAGACACATTATGCTGCATTTTTCATCACAAAATTCATTGCAGGGATTGTCTAATGGCATTTGCGTAGTATTCTAGAAGGATAGTAGTGGCCACGATTAGCAGTTATTCAGGTCCCAGGTGTAGGACTCACTTTTTGTAGATCATGAGTAATAAGACTGTAAAATGAGTTTGTCCTTCTTGTGAATGGGAATAGTTCTTCAACTGATCAGAGCAAATTTGTGTTTGTTTCCTTTGCAGACTTTGGATCATGGGAAAGCCTGGGGATACCTGACATTCAGAGGTAAATAGAGCTTGGTGTATGACTCTCAAGCAGGATTAGAGAAAAAAGTTAATGGATAGGGACAGGAACTGACTTGGGAGGAAAAAGGTGGTGGCTTTCTTGCCACTCAGCAGTCCTCCACTGGTAGTTCTCTCTTGCCACTCACCTTGCTAATTGGATGAAATTAAGAAAACGAAAACTTCCTAACAGTTTGATCTAGTCCACTGTGGAATAATTTTACAAGGAAAATGGTAGAAGTCAATAGCTTTTTGTTCAGTACCTTCATTAATGATCTGGAGGATGGCGTGGACTCCACCCTCAGCAAGTTTGTGGATGACACTAAACTGGGAGGAATGGTAGATACGCTAGAGGGTAGGGATAGGATACAGGGGGAACCTAGACAAATTAGAGGGTTGGGCCAAAAGAAATCTGATGATGTTCAACAAGGACAAGAGCAGAGTGCTGCACTTAGGACGGAAGAATCCCATGCACTGCTACAGACTAGAGACCGAATGGCTAGGCAGCAGTTCTGCAGAAAAGGACCTAGGGGTGACAGTGGATGAGAAGCTGGATATGAGTCAACAGTGTGTCCTTGTTGCCAAGAAGGCTAACGGCATTTTCGGCTGTATAAGTAGAAGCATTGCCAGCAGATCAAGGGACGTGATCGTTCCCCTCTATTCGACATTGGTGAGGCCTCATCTGGAGTAGTGTGTCCAGTTTTGGGACCCACACTACAAGAAGGATGTGGAAAAATTGAAAAGCATCCAGCGGAGGGCAACAAAAATGATTGGGGGACTGGAGTACATGACTTATGAGGAGAGGCTGAGGGAACTGGGATTATTTACTCTGCAGAAGAGAAGAATGAGGGGGGATTTGATAGCTGCTTTCAACTACCTGAAAGGGGGTTCCAAAGAGGATGGCTCTAGACTGTTCTCAGGTAGCAGATGATAGAACAAGGAGTAATGGTCTCAAGTTGCAGTGGGGGACGTTTAGGCTGGATATTAGGAAAAACTTTTTCACTAGGATGGTGGTGAAGCACTGGAATGCGTTACCTAGGGAGGTGGTAGAATCTCCTTCTTTTGAGGTTTTTAAGGTCAGGCTTGACAAAGCCCTAGCTGGGATGATTTAGTTGGGGATTGGTCCTGCTTTGAGCAGGGGGTTGGACTAGATGACCTCCTGAGGTCCCTTCTAACCCTGATAGTCTATGATTCTAAGTCCAATTACTCTCGTCATTTAAAACTAGCTTGAAGAAAACCCTGGAGACTATACCACAGTGAACAATTTGTGTTGGCAAAGAAATGGAGTCTATGACAAATCAGGTCTCTTCCATTTCTAACTTCTATAATAACTAAAAACAGTGGATAAACATGCTAGCTGAATGTTCCTGGTAAAATCAATAATGAAATAGCAATGTTGTCCTTTAAGTTGCATCATTAGGGTTCAGAATGAGTACTTCATTAAGATGAAGAGGGGAAATTCCCCACTTTTTGAAAGCTGTTTTAGACCATGTATGAGGTTTATAATTTATTTAATACAATTTTTCACTTCTAGTCTTTAATTCAAGGATCTCAAAGTGTTTTATAAACATTAATGAATTCAACATCCCTGTAACGCAGTGAAGAATTTTCTTTATTTTATAGATATGGAAACTAAATCAGAGAGAGGTGAAATGACTTGTTCAAGCTAACAGAAGTGGTCAACAGCAAAGTCAGGACTACTATCCAGATGTTCTGTCAGTCAGTTGCCTGTGTTACTTGCTATACAACCTGTAGTGGGAGTGTGTAGTTTAGGAGATAGTGTAACTACCATAAAATATCCAGTGCTATGGCCAGCTGAAGCATTGGAGACATTGCACTGGCATAGTCACCAATATGGGATTTGTTGTTCATAGCATTATTTACCTATTCATCTTCATCTTTCCTTAGGCAAGACATATAATGAAGTGAAAGAGATTGACAAGGTGATGTATCATGACTGGAGGATGGTGCCCAAACACGAAGAGGAGGCCTTCAAGAAATGTACTCCAGTGTGCATGGAAACCATTCAGTGTGTGCCATACCCCCCTCTACTCCGAGCCATGATCCTTGCGCAAAGGCAGAAGGAAGGAAACCTTAACACAGAGGAACCACTGATTGATCTGGAGAAAGTCATCTCCTTCACAAAGGACTACTTTCAAAATCAGAAAAAAGCTAAGGGGACACCAGTGTGAAGGTCTAGAGCTGAGTGTGATGGAGCTTCTGAAACGCTCTCTAATACTCTGTGTGTTGACAGCTCATACAATCTCCTTAATGAAGAATAGGACCATAAGCAACATGCCCACTTCTATACCTTGGTTTCTCAGTACCGTGCACATGCAGGTGTGCGACTTTCTCATATATTCAGAAGGATGTAGCGACACTCAGGATTTCTTGCAATCTTTTGTTTGCAGAGTGTCCTCCCTTTTGGTTCCCTGCCTATTCTCCTGATGTATGCCTCCTGGTGTCCAGGTCCCAATGACAGCTACCATCCTTCTGTGCAGGAAGACCACAAATGAGACTCTTTTTGAAAGGACACTGTCATAGTTTAGCCCCACAATTAATTTAAAGCACAATAATGGTCAGAAGAATGACTCTAAAAATGGCACCTTCTTTATCTATAGACCTTGCTACCCGTCGAATGACTTCAGTAAATACATGTTTATTTCTTTTTTACGTCTGTTATCCCTGTAGCACAGTTGCAAGGACATGAGTTGGATTCTAGTCTGTCTTGTGGACCATCAGCAGAAGTGTTAATTAAATTCCAATTTTAGAATCCTTTGCCTTGACACATAAAGGCATCACCTCAGCTGCACCCGAACCAAGCCTATAAATACCACTCACTTCAGCCAGGATTGTGAAGTTGATGGGCAAAATAGAGAGAACCCACCTTAACTTTCTGATACCACATTGTTTGCCAAGTTGGCAGTGGGAAAGAAGAACCCATCTTTTTTTCTTGTAAACTGAGTAAAAGTTCCAACTCCTTTTGAAGTCAGTGGCAAGCTACCATTTGCTTCAGTGGGAGCACTTGGCCATGGAAGTCACAGAGACAATAAACATGGAATGCCCCGATCCTATTTTTGGAGTCACTTATGAGAACAAAACTACTCTTAGACCCTCCCCCTGCAGTGTTTGCAGCATTCTAGGCCATCAGACTTCAGCCCTAAAACTTGCTAGAAACCAACCAAGAAGAGCAAAGTGGATATATTTAAACCAATAACATAAATGATGATAAATATATTAGATTTTTACAATCGTTTTCTGTTATCTTATGTGGTACTGGTGGTACAATAAAGAAATGTCAGTAACATTTTTCTTCACAACAAAAAAAGGGGCATGTGGATGGGTTCACCTGTACTCGGGAATCACTGAGCCCCGTGACCCACCGCCTGGGCTCCCTCCTGTACTGCTGTGACAAGCTGCAAAGCCCCCTAGCCAGCACTTTCACTAGCATTCATAGAGGTAGGGACACACCCAGCTGCAATTACATGCAGGCTCTCTAACCACCAGCTTCCCAGCTTGGGACCCCAGATCAGTACTGTCCTGCCCTGGTTAAATCTGGCCAGTATACAGGTTTAACACCTGGTCCACCTCTCCCTCAATGTGAAAAGGACCATGCACACTTGTGGTAACCAAGCTGCGATTTCCCCCAGACACCTTAGTCGAATGCACACTGGTTTGGATTAAAACATAAAATAAGTGTATTAACTACAAAAGAATAGATTATAAGTGATAGCAAACAAATCAAAGCAGATTACCTAGTAAATAAACAAAACAACAAACTGATCTTAACATACTAATCACCCTGAATGATAAACAGGCCAGAAGATTCTTAAGGCACAAGCTGCCTTGGCTCTGCAGCTTGGATTTTCCAGGTTTTCATAGACAGGTTAGAAATCCCTCTAGCCTGAGACAATTATTTCCTAGTCTTTTTTCCTCAGGTGATTCCAGGTGTGGTGTTGTAGGGATACTGAGCCCCCCATGATGGCATTCTGCGCTCCATCCCCCTTTTATATCTACTTGCTGGAAAGCTCTTTTGCTGTGACCTGGATCAAACCATTCCCATTGTGTAGTGCCCGGTCGAAAAGGGACCCTGGCGGCTCTGGTCAGCATTGCTGACTAAGCCGTTAAAAGTCCAGTCAGTGGGGCTAAGGCAGACTCCCTGCCTGCCCTGGCTCTGCGCAGCTCCTGGAAGAAGCTGGCATGTCCCTGCAGCCCCTAGGCAGAGGGGTGATCAGGGAAGCTGGGGGCATGGTGGTGCACAGAGCCCCCTGGCCCCTAGACCTAGACATGGTGGCTGCTTCTGAGAGCCAAGCCGAGCTAGGAAAGACAGGGAGCCTGCCTTAGCCCCGCTGCGCCACCTACTGGGAGCCACCTAAGGTAAGCACCACCGGGCCGGAGCCCATACCCCCCACGCCAATCCCCTGCCCCAGGTCGAAACCCTCCCGCACCCTAACTCCCTCCCAGAGTCCACACCCCAACCTTCAGCCCTTAGCCCGCACCCCATCTCCCTGCCTCAACCTTGACCCCCTTCCTGCACCCAAAACCCCTCATCCCTGGCCCCACCCTAGAGTCCACACCCCCAGCTGAAGCCCTCACCCCCTCCTGCACCCCAACCCCCTGCCCCAGGCCAGAAGCCCCTGCCATACCCTAAGTCCCTGCCAGAGTCTTCACTCCAGCCCTTAGCCCACACCTGCTCCTGCATTGCAACCCCCTGCCTCAGCCCTGAACCCCCTTCTGCACCCCAAACCCTTCATTCCCGGCGTAACCCCACACCCCCAGCCGGAGGCCTCACCCCCTCCCACACCCCAACCCCCTGCCCCAGGTTGGAACCCCCTCCTGAACCCTAAACTCCCTCCCAGAGTCTGCACTCCAGCCCTGAGCCCACACCCCAACCCCCAGCCCTGAGCCCCCTCCTGCACCCCAAACCACTCATCCCTGGCCCCACCCCAGAGCCTGCACCCCCACCCAATCCTGAGCCCCCAAACGCCTTGGCCCCAGAGAGCTCCCTTCTACACCCCAAACCCCTAATCCCTGGTCCCACCCCAGAGCCTGCACCCGGAGCCCCCTTCTGCACCCGGAACTCCTCATTTCTGGCCCCACCCAAGAGCCCACACCCCCAGCTGGAGCCCTCACCCCCTCCCGCACCCCAACCCCCTGCCCTAGCCCAGTGAAAGTGAGTGAGGTTGGGGGAGCTTGGGAGGAACGGATGCAGTATTTTCCCCAGGAATTGAAAGGCGGGGGTGAGACTGTGAGGGTGAAGGTGGGCTGTATGGCACCATAGTAAAAACTGAAAAATGTTTCATGACCATTTTATTAGATTTAACTCATGTTTTAAAATCATCACACAACTTAAAGTTGGCTACTCAAGCCTTCTATGAAGCACTACATCTACATTCTTCTTGGTTTCTTGTTATAATTTTGCACAACTCTGTTAATGAACTTCTTGAATGCAATGCGTTCATCTTTGGTGGCTTCTTGTGTGTCCGGTACTTCCATTTCTTCAATTGATATGCTCTTTAGTTCATTCACATGATCAGGCAGAAGGCGACTTCTTTCAGAACACAAAATTCTATTCAGTGATGAAAAAGAATGCTCAACTGTAGCTATTGTGACTGGGAGTAGCAAGAGATGAATTCCTACTTCTTTCATCCCAGAAAACATAGCACAAAGATCGGGTCAAGCCACTAGTGATGATAAAAAAGAAGTTTAAGTCAAATCTTCATTCATTTGTCGTATGATATACCACTCTGTGTTCAAATACTCTATTCTGTCCTGAGCACATGGCAGCCCCATTGCTGGTAGTGCCTCACTCCACTCAACTGTCTGTGTTTTACAGGAGAGGGATCTGTAAAAGCTATGTAGAGGTGAGTTGAATCTAGAAGTCGCTGTTGTAGATTTTTAAGAATCAAGTCTGTGTACTTTTTCAGTTGTCTTAACAAACACTTCTTGTCCTCTTCACTTAAGGATTCAATATAAATGCCTTCATTAGTCAACTTCTGGACTTAAGTCTTTGCTTCTTCCAGTAGTTTTTCAATGGATAGCTCTCTGATTGATCCAAATGTAGCTTCTACTGCTGGACAGAGATCTACTGCTGTTGTAGCAGATCCCTGAATGGCATTGTTTAATGACCCAAGTGGGTTCAACAGTAGACTTACAAGAGGGAGAATGGCAACAGTCTTTTCTGACCGTAGTAGCAAAAGTAATCCACCAGCCTCACTACTTAGATCCATCCCATCTTGGTTGATACTTTCCAAAGCCAGTAATAATGGCTGGAGTAACAAGACAACAGCCAAGGATCGCTTATGAGAAAGCCAGAGGGCTTTCCCAGGTTGGACTAATTTGAACTTCAGTCCCAGTGTATCTTCTATATTTTCCAGTGTATTTTCTATATTTTTTGTTGAAAAAAGAATATAACAAAGACATTAAATTTGTAGCTTTTAAAATGACTTTTGAAGAGTCTGCAGCTCGTATTAGCGCTTGTTGGAGTAGATGGCCTCTGCAGTATGTATAGGAGAGATTAGGGTTACACTTTTCTCTGAGCAAAGCTTGTCCACCATGTCTTCCAGAGAAGTTTGCAGCTCCATTAAATGCACAAGCAGCCATCTGTTTGGGGTCCAACTGAGAAGCATTTAACTCTTCTAAGATGTGGGTTGTCACAGATGCAGCCGATGTGTTCTCTCTAACTTGAACATCTAGAAATGAATCTATTGGCCTACCATGGACATCAGGATTACATACACAATGATTTAATACTTGATGCCCATTTGCATCGGTGCATTCATCAGCCATGTATGCAAATTTTTTGAATGTGGTGAGAGAGTTCTTCAGTTTTTCAACTGTTGTGTCTTTCACTGTTGCACAATATGCTTCTAGCCAGTCAGTTGAGTTTCTTGCAGAAAGATAGTGAGCATTTGCTGGTCTTGTTCGGAACCAGTGTTCAACTTCAGGATGAACAAGTGACAATGCATTTAACATTGGGCTCCAGTTTGTAGTGTGTGGTATCTCTTGCTTAAATAGAAAGTATGATGCCACAGCCATGTGTGTTTGCATGAAGTGTGTTGTGTCTCCAGGATTCTTAACAGGTTCATTAACACTCACTGGTGTTGTACTTGGTGGAGACTCAGAGGTGCTTTCACATGAGTTCACCTCCCAGGTGGGGAGCAAGAAGGCACCTTGCTCAGTCCTCCAGCTGCTCACTGTTCACTCTGGACACTGTTGTTCATTGTGCCACCGTTCACTCCATTGATCTGTTGCCAATGGCCCTGCGCCGTCAGCTTCTGCTGCCACCTGCCACTGTGACCTCTGTGAGTTGGTCTCTTGAGGTTCCACCCAGCTCTCAGTGATTTCAGCTGAGCTCTCAGTGGGGGAACTTCACTGCTAGTGCAGACTGGGCCGTCTCTTCCACAGAAACACTGTCCCACAGCAGGTCTCAGCACTTAGACCTGATTATCAGTGATTTCAACTGTAGTGGTCACTTAACAAAACAAAAGACTATCTATGGAGCCTAATCAGCTCTGTCTTTAAACAGTGGAGAGGGGCAGGTCAAATAGTTCTTGTGACTCAGGCAGACCATCAAGCAAAACACCTGTCCCCACCTTCTCTCTTGATGCCCTCAATCAGCACAGGCTAAGTACAGTTCTACTGCCCTTTACTCATACAATAAGAATAATAACATTTAATTAGCCCCCACCACCCACATTCAAGTGATTTGTAACCCAACCCCAGCCAAAATCTATCACTTGGGCAACACAGCTCTGTTTGCTGTATACCTAGATTAGGTGTGAATGTAAATACAATCTAGTCCTGAAACCTTTCCCCCCAGCTCATCACTAGCTGTCAGGGAGAGCTCATTTAGACTTTGCTTACAAATCATAATTTGAAATTATTAGGTTGGCCAACATCACTGAAACGAATGCACTGACATTGTCATAAAAACAATAGCTGTATAAGGAAGCTAGTCTATGTTCATACTTTTCAAATATTATACTTTTTCAGGTTTCAGAGTAGCAGCCGTGTTAGTCTGTATCCGCAAAAAGAACAGGAGTACTTGTGGCACCTTAGAGACTAACAAATTTATTTGAGCATAAGCTTTCGTGGGCTACAGCCCACTTCATCGGATGCATAGAATGGAACATATAGTAAGAAGATATTTATACATACAGAGAACATGAAAAGGTGGAAGTACCCATACCAACTGTAAGGTTCCCCCCCCCCCCGCTGATAATAGCTCCTCTTAATTAATTAGCCTCTTACTCTTGGTATGGGTACTTCCACCTTTTCACGTTCTCTGTATGTATAAATATCTTCTTACTATATGTTCTATTCTATGCATCCAATGAAGTGGGCTGTAGCCCACGAAAGCTTATGCTCAAATAAATTTGTTAGTCTCCAAGGTGTGCCAAAGTCAGATTCAAGACTCACAAAATTTGTCAGACCACTCTGTTTATTAGCAAAGTGCTTTGCCAATGCACCCAGATATGTGAGTTTCCTGCAAAAGCTCAAGCTATTTAAAAGCTTATTTAAACAGATAAGGGAAAGCCAATTTAACATAAGAGACAAAAGGAAGCAGAAACATACAAAGCTTATTTGCAAACTAACATTTACCAATCTCCTAGCTCAGTGGGAGCTCTAAGTTAATTAGTTTGAGGACCCATTCTCTCACACTCCTTAACGTTTCTCTTCCTGACAACTATATTTCAACAAACCCTTCAAGCAGCATTTCTTTAATGAATTATAATTTCAATATAATTCATTCTACTTTCACAGGTGCCACAAGTACTCCTGTTCTTTATATTTTTTCAGATACACATATTGTATCATACACTTTATATGCTTTTATATTGTGTATGTGTGTATTAATGTTTCAATTTCAATTCAAATGTCCAATCACTATATTGGCAACACAGCATGTAACTAGTTCACAAAACGTGGGGGGGAATAGGGAAATCCCTGGACGAAGGGAGTGGAGCCTCAGGGAAGCGGCGGGGCAAGGTGTTCCGGTTTGTGCTGTTAGAAAATTGGCAACCCTAGCTGTGGCCTGGTGGCTGGAGCGTTTGACAGACCTGGCTCTCTGAGATCTGGGCTGACAGTGGACTAAAGGGAGTGTAGTGTACAATAAACTGGGTTTGCTCTTGGGCTTTGTTTGGCACAGTGCTAGGGGGCGGAGGGAAGGCAAAAAAAAACACAAGAACCCCACTCCAAAATCAACCCGCCAGTTTCTTGCAGGCCCTTATGGGGTTTGCCACGGTCTGGGCTGAAGGGCATTTGGATGTGGGGCGGGGCGCCACCACATCGGCCGGTCTGGTTGTGGGGATGGGCAGACCGGGCGGTTGGGTAGACAGGAGCACGCAGAGCGCGCACGAAGAAGTCCGGACCCCAGGAGTAACGTGCGCGCCCTCATCCCTCCCCCACGGGCCCGCGCGCGTTTCGTGCCTAGGCGGTACCGCCCACGCGCCCGGCCGTAGCCCTGTCAGCGCGCGACCGGCTGCCACCATGATCTGCTCGGTGCTCATCCTGTTCGCCAACATCTTCCACAGCGGTGAGTGCCCCTCCCAGGGCGTGGGGGAGCTGTCCGGGGGATGCCTCCTCCGGGGCGGGGTGAGGAGGAGGGTGGCAGTTCGGGGGTTGTCCCCCCCAGGCAAGGGGAGGGCGGGGTCAGGGGATGTCCTTTATCAGCAGGGGGAGGGGTTGTTCGGAGGATGCCCCCTTAGGCAGGGGGAGGACACAGCAGGTGTGGGGGCACTGATCCCTCCCTTCCTCACCCTTTGCCTCCCCTGACTCAGCTCCTTCAACTTTCACAGCTCTGCCCCCACTCACTCCCACGGAGAGGGGGTGAGGGGGGAATAGGCACAGAGGTGGCTGCTTGGGGCAAGGTGCCTGCTCTGCTGATGACAGGTTTCAGAGTAACAGCCGTGTTAGTCTGTATTCGCAAAAAGAAAAGGAGGACTTGTGGCACCTTAGAGACTAACCAATTTATTTGAGCATGAGCTTTCGTGAGCTACAGCTCACTTCATCGATGAAGTGAGCTGTAGCTCACGAAAGCTCATGCTCAAATAAATTGGTTAGTCTCTAAGGTGCCACAAGTCCTCCTTTTCTTTTTGCTCTGCTGATGAGACACTACTGAGAGCAGAGTGGTACCCAACCCTGCTCTGTGGCAGTGAATTTCACTGCAGCTGGTTCACTCTGAATAAAGCATGTAATCAAGCTCAGGGAGGGAACAAAGAGGCCACATAGGAGTTTATTTTACAAGTGGGGAAACTGAGGTACGGAGAAGGGAAGGGAGTCTCCTAAGGTCCCATAGTCATCCCTTAACAAAGCTGGAAATAGAGTCTGTCTCTCTTGACTCCTATCTCTAACTCTGAGCCCACACACTGCCTGCCTCTGTGATCTATGACAGGAGTGGCCAAACTTACTGATCCTCCTAGCTGCGTATAACAATCTTCAGAAGTTCAAGAGCCTGATTGGGCTCTGGGCTTTAGCTCCATGGGAGGTGCCTCTGGGGCTCAGGGCTTTAGCCCCACTACTGCTGAAGCCATGAGGCCTGGCCAGTGTGCCCTGTGGGGCTGAAGCCCTGAGACTCCCCTGCCCGCTGGGCAGAGACCCCTACCTCACCACCCCATTGCAAGGCAGAGGTCCCAAGCGTCCCAGCATTGGGTAGGTGGAAAATGGGAGGAATGTGGGGGGTTCCATTAGCTGCACTTTGACGGTAAAAACAACGAGGAGTCCTTGTGGCACCTTAGAGACTAACAAATTTATTAGTCTCTAAGGTGCCAAAAGGACTCCTTGTTGTTTTTGCTGATACAGACTAACACGGCTACCACTCTGAAACCTTTAACAGTAAAAGAACTGCATGTGGCTCACGAGCCACACTTTCGCCACCCCTGATCTATGCTCTGCAAGGTTAAGTCCCAACTATCAGCTTGCGTGTTCTGTGTAAAAGAATATCCCTGACTGCCTTCCCTAGGCTGTTTTCCACTTACTTAAAGGGTTGTAAAAGAAACATATCCACAGCCTAACAAACCAGTGTAGACCATTGGACAGCCAAATAGGTGAAATCAGCTCTCTAGTGTGGTTTAAAAAAATCATTCAGTCAGATCCCCTGATTATTTTCACAAGCCTTTTTGTTTAGATTCAAATTCAGATCGCTTTAGGAGGCCTGATTTCAAATTCAAAGGCAATATTAGGGCTGGAAAATTCCCAGACTTGTTACATGCTCACTGAGATTACATAGCATAATGTTTTGCCCACATTTTGAAACCCAGAGCAAGTCTGTCTGTGATGGTGGATTTTTTTAATTAAAAAGGCCATGCATTCAGTGGCTTTTATTTTTGTTTCTTTAATTAAGGGAAGTGGATTTATTAAAATATGTCGGACTTGATTAGGGTGCACTAAATGCTGATAAATGTAACAGCTGCTGACTCTTCATCTTCTCTGTGTTCAGTCCAAGAAGGATTGGAACTGGAGCAGGAAAACTCACTGCTGGGTATCAGGAGGGATGTCGTCCTGACAAGTGGACCCAGATTCTCTAGGAGCAAAGGAACTAAAATCTAATGCAAGTCTGTGGTTGGATATTGCTCTTTGTAGCCACCAGGGCTTTCCCCGTCCACCTCAGGAGGATGTCCTCTCCATCCCTCTGCTCCACCCCCCTACCCACCAGACTGCCTGCTACCCCTTGCAAAGGATTACATGGTTGGAAACAACTCCTTCCCAGAGTTCCCTGTCTTTGCCATGGGGAAAGAGGTTATCTCCATTGCTCTGACTTCCAGAGTCCCTGCTGTATGTGTGCCACTAACCACCAGAGCGCTCCTGTTTCATTCCAGTATTGGACTGTCTGTCTCTCAGTGGGAAAGGGGCTGTCTGCAAACCTCTGACTTTTGTCTCCACCAGCCTTTGCCATATATGAAACCAGTTTTACAATCCAAACTGATGGTAAGCTATGCCCCATTCCTATTTGAGTTCCTACCTTAGCAGCATCTGCCTCTTCCCTTATCTCTGGTTTTATTTTTTAATTCCTTGATCCTGGTTGTAGTGACCCCTCTGATCCTGAATGTATGCTGAGGTTTGCTCTAGCCCTAAGTGTTCCTCCTCATCTTCTTTCAGCTTGCACTGGAGTAAATGAGCGCACCTTCCTAGCCATCAAGCCAGATGGGGTGCAGCGGCATCTCATAGGGGAAATCATCAGGCGCTTTGAAAAGAAAGGCTTCAAACTGGTGGGGATGAAACTCATGCAGGTGAGAGGAGCTGGCAGAGCAAGGGCTACCCTGGCACCCTTGTCTCTAAAGGTCCAGTCCATGCTGCCTCACTCTGTGTATGCTCTGTCTTGGGGCTTTAAATCTTTGCAGCAGGGACCTGCTTGCATCCTGCTTGCTGATGGTGCTTTGTAAATAATACCTAGTTTTTATATAGCATTTTTTATCAGTAAATCTCAAAGCGTTTTGCATAGGTCAGTATCATGATCCCCATTTTACATATGAGGAAACTGAAGCACAGAGAGGGTAAGTTACTTGCCTAAGGCAGTGGTTCTCAACTTATTTCACATTGTGGGCTGCATATGCGGCCCACAATGTGCTAACTGGGCTGCAGGGGCTGGGTGTCGGGGCCAGCCAGCAGCCCGCCCCAGACTCCCGCTGTGCATGGCCAGCCAACAGCCTGCCCCGGACCCCTGCCACTCCTGTGGGGTGGGCTGGCTGCCCTGACCCTGGATCCCCGCCCCAGACCGTGTGCTAATTGGGCTGCGGGTTGAGAACTGCTGGCCTAAGGTCACCCAGCCACCCGGAGGCAGTGCTGGCAATAGAATCCATAGAAGCAAAGAAATGTGGGGCTGGAAGAGACCTCAAGAGGTCATCTAGTTTAGCCCCTTGCTCTGGGGCAGGATTAAGTATGCCTGCCTCCTGAGTCACAGTCTAGTGCTTTATCCACTAGGCCACGAATAACAAAGTTCAGAAATGCCTGGTATCAGAGCTGCTGCAAAGTCTCTTGCTGAGGCCATTTCTCCAACATCCCTCCCATGGGAACTCAACGTAGTGAGATATATATATATGGGGGAGGGATAGCTCTTTGGTTTGAGCATTGGCCTGCTAAACCCAGGGTTGTGAGTTCAATCCTTGAGGGGGCCATTTAAGGATCTGGGGCAAAAATTGGGGATTGGTCCTGCTTTGACCTCCTGAGGTCCCTTCCAACCCTCATATTCTATGATATCCTCCTACCACTAGATGGAGACAGGAAACGAAAGGAAAGCTCCCTAGTCCTGTCTCCGTGCAGGTTGCCAGCCCAGCAAGAGGAATTTAATTTGGATCTTTTTCTTGCCACCACCATTCAGGGTCAAGTTTTCCAAAGCACTTTAGTCCTATTTTCAAAAATGACTTAGGCACCTAAATCTCATTGTCAGTCAGGGGAATTGAGCTCTTAAGTCTCATTTCCAAAAGCAACTTGAAGCACTTAGGATCCAAAATCGTTTAGTCACCTTTGAGAATTTACTGTCTCTCTTTTCTTTGGAGCACTCTGCCCCAATCTGTCTTGTGCAATGGACTGTCGTATAGGCTGTTCCATTGTAAGTCTGTTTTGCAGCATTTGTTATGGACCTATAATGGAAACTATTTTTTCATCATCAGTGTAATAGACCCTTGCTGTTATCTAAAGGGCTGCATTGCAAATGCCTTTTCTGAACAGAGCCTGAATTCTGCCCCTGTTGATTACCTGAATCCCTAAAGGTCCTGTGAGGCTATACACAGAAAGCGAGTGAGAACTGAACTGAAAGAGGAAAATGGGATTCCCCAGATGAGGAATGAACACTGATCCAGTTTCACCTGGCAGTTGTTCCTTCCTGGTGAGCTTGATTTCCTCCTCCCAGCTGCACTGCAGAATTCAGGAATCCAGCCCTCAGAGCAGGGAGAGGTCCCTAAACGCCACTTCTAAAGTGGACTCTTCTGGCCACTAGAACAGCCATTATAAGCCATTTTAGGACAGTCCCATCTAGCAAACTAGATCACATGCTGTGTTTGTGCCCAGGCCTCGGAAGACTTGCTGAAGGAGCATTATATAGCCCTCTGTGATCGCCCCTTCTACAGCCGTCTGGTGGAGTACATGAGATCGGGTCCTATTGTAGCCATGGTGAGTGCTGGCCAGCGGCCCCTTTCATGCCTTGAAACGGATATCAAATGCAAGTGCAATTAGCATTGAACTTGAGGCCATTCCATCTTCCCTTCATACCCTTCTGCCAGATCCTCTGGCTGAAGTGTTACACTGTTGCATGTAAAAGTGAAACCTGTGCATATCTTTCTTTTATTCAAACAGATAATCATAGGCTTTCTTGAGGTAGATTCTGCCCTGACTTATCTCTAGGCGTACTCATACAAGGAGGTGGAGTTAGCTGGAGGGTGCTTAGGGTAGGATTTGGGCTTGCTATTCAGCAAGCTGCGGAAGCTGACTCTTGCTGTGCTGTCTTGTAGGTCTGGCAGGGGCTGGATGTGGTAAAGATGGCTCGCGCAATGATTGGAGAAACTAACCCAGCTGATTCCAGACCTGGCACCATCCGAGGGGACTTCTGCATTGAAGTCAGCAAGTGAGAGCCTTGGGTTTGTTTTTGCTGGGGAATCCTGTGTCCCTGTTGCAGGTGGGAGGAGGCTCCTTCTGTGTTCTGCTCCATGTCCCAGTTACTCTCCCACTGACTGAGGGGGAAGATGGGGGAGTGCCTTTAGAGTCAGCTCTCAATGCTCCTGTCAAAGGATCACTTGTGAGGGATGAGCACACCTTACTTTGCCTGGCTCCCAACCTAGGCAGCAAGAGAACAATGCCCAGATGGTCTGTGGCAGGGTGGGGTTCTTCATCTTGTGTAAAGTAGCCACACTTGTGCTACATTTTAGGGATTTTTACCCTAATGGTATGGTCAGTTTGGAGTTAAACCTGAGATCTTCTTGTTTGGGGCCAAAACTAACAACACCATGTTGTAACCATAACTCTCTGGTACCCCCTTGAGGAGAGGGTAGGCACCTCTCATTTCAGTGGTCCCTCCCTGGACCACAGCATTGCTGTGGGGTCATCCCAGAGTCCAGTCCTCTGACTGTGCTGTTTAGGAGTGGGGTGGTTGGGAGGCCACATAAAGTAGCCCAAATAAAAAAAGTCAGGATGCTGTCATATCTCACAAAAGGCAGAGTCCAGAGCCTTCTGAAGGCAAAAGAAGAAGAGGGCCTGGGCAGCAACTCCTGTTTCCTCAGCCTGGGGAAGCTCTGAGTTCCAGCCCTTCTTTCTGAGTGCCACCCAAACTGAACTGGGACCCTGCCTCTCTCCAGGCTTGACAAGACTCACTGGTGTGGTGCTTTGGGGTGGGGCTGATTGTGCCCTCGGGAGCTCTTTAACCCCTTCTAGACTGAGACAGCCCCATCATACGCTGCTTCACACTTCCATAGCAATTTTCATCTTCAGTATGCTGCCCAGGCACTCAACTGATCCTCACAACACCCTACTGAGGGAGAGAAGGATAATCTTCTTTCTACATGTGGGGATTATGAGGCAGGAAGAGTGCATGGACCTGCCCCAGGCCACAGAGGGAATCTGTGTCAGAGCCAGGATTAGATGTTGGGAGTGTCTGGCTCCCAGTCCTGTGCTCACACCATGCCCATCTCCTGTGACAAAATAGTTTGCATAGTACATTTGGCCATGAAGAGCACTATGCTTAAACTGCCTCTTTGGTCTCAGGATGAGCTGTGGAGGAGAGCAGAGGAGATCTTTCCTGCTGCTTTATGCTTTTTTTCTATTAAAACAAAAAAGTGAGGGGTGTTCTGCTTGGCTTTTACCGTATAACTATCAGCAATGTCAAGCCGTCGCTTCTTGAAGCCCTGTAGTGAAGCGACGACTCACCGGTGCACGCCTTCTACTGGTCATCTTGCAATTAGCTCTCTTCCAGTTTACGGAGCGCCCTGTGCAGGCTGGTATCTCACTGGTATGTCCCTCTCAGACCCCGGTGCCCTTTACCCTGGGGTTCTGCCCCAGCAATACCTCCCTGGGGAACCCTCAACCCTCTAAGCCCACCTTGCCTCAGTGGCAACTGCCAGTCATCATCTAACCCCCGTTCACTGGGGCAGACTGCAGTGTAATGGCCACTCATCATTGGCAAGGGGTTAGGACCAGCTGCCGCTGCCTATTCCCAGGCTGCCCTTCTGCAGCCCCAGTACCTTTGTAGCCTTCACCAAGGTCTGCAGCCTGTGGGTTTACCAGGCTGGAGCTCCCCAGCTCCCTTTGCCCTTCCCCAGCACTACTCTGGCTCTAGGTACCTTGCTCCCAGGCAGCTAGCCCTTCCCACTCCAGGGCTAGAGTGAAACTCTTTCAGCTCCTGGCCCCCAGCCCTCTTATAAGGGCCAGCTGGGCCCTGATTGAGCGGTCCACAGGTGTGGCTGCCTTCCTCAATCAGCCTAGCTTTGCTGCTTTTAATTCCTGTTCTCCAGGAGTGGGGCAGTCACCCCACTACAAGCCCCCAGAGCCATGGTGGGGAGCACTCCCAGCCATTAACTGAAGTGGTGGTAGTGCTCAGTGTAATAGATGAGCTGTTCTCCTAGCCCTTAGTCAGGCATATGAGTTAGTTAGGTGTTAAAAGACAAGCAAGAGTCCTGAATTGTCTGAGGCCCTGGCTACACTAGGGGTTTGCAGCAATGAAGCTACACCAATTGGCTGAAATCAGGGCTAATTCTCAGTGTAGCCAATGCCTAAATGAAGCTGACATCCTTCCTTATATAGGTTTCATTTCCTTGGCATCTGATGTCAAACTTACCAGTTCTCCATAGAGTCTTCCAGGAGGGGAAAAACAGGGGTCAGAAGACTTGAATTTCTAATGTAAAAAAAAGCAGCACTACAGGTAAAAAAGGCACTTTCAGCCCTTCATGAAGCAGCTGTTACTGTAGATTAGAAGAGATTATACTGTATAAAAAAAAATGGAGCACCGTAAGAAAATCAGAAGATGGGTTAGCTGTAGGCACTGTTGCTGCTTTGGTGACATGATCTAGGGGAGGGGACTGGTGGGAACTGGCAGCTCCCACATGCCACAGGATAACTGGCAAGTCCTGCTCTCAGCCAGAAGATGGGTGGCTCTGGGGTAGGGTTCTGAGGAATGGTAAGGAACATGAGGATCGTTCAGGTAGGAATGCAACAAGATGGCACTTGTTCAGCAAACTTATTATTTTAGCCAAGATGAAATTACTTCCGGCTCTAGTTCCTCGCTGTATCTGACTTGGAGAGTACCCATTCTCTTTCCTCACAGGAATGTGATTCACGGCAGCGACTCGATTGAGAGTGCCCGGCGGGAGATTTCGCTCTGGTTCCACACAGACAAGCTGACCTGCTGGGTGGACAGCACTGAGCACTGGATCTATGAGTAATAAGAATGGTCTGGGGGAAGGGTATCTTGCTGACACTCAGGCACAGTAAAAACTCATCCATTTCCATTTTTCCTTCTCTGGAGTCACACTGGACTTTGTGATAGTGTGGTTTTTTCATTGGGTGTTTCTATCTAGGGGTGGGTGAAAGGGTAATGGGAAGTCTATTCTGCACTGGTAATTGACTAAATTGCAGCTCTCTGGGATAGTAGCTACTTGGTGCTGCTGGTCTGGTTCTGTCGATGCTCTGCAGCATCCTAAAATCCCAAGGGGTTCAAGATGACCTGCAAAGGAAAGAAAAATGAGCTTGTGCCTTTGGCATCTTTATAATGTACAGAAAAGGCCTGAGAGTTACATTAGAATTTTAGGTCCTGTCTACTATGGAAGGCTCTCTGGTGATTGGAGAACTATTGATATGACGACATCACAAGAAGTAAGAGAGTGAAAGTTGAGCAATTTGAAGATTTTGATTAGAAGGGACCCATGGGATGATCTTGTCTGACCTCCTGCATAACACAGGCCAGGAAACCTCATCAAGTTATTCTTGCATCAAGCCCATAATTTCTGGTTGAGCTGGAGCATATCCAATCTTGATTTAAAGATCATTGTTCCAATGGTTAATTACTTTTGCTGTTAAAAATGTGTACCTTATTTCCAGTCTCAAATTGTGTACCTATACTGGATCTTGTTATGCCTGTGAGATAAGACTGCTCTACTATCAGAAGTAGTGGGGGGAGGGATAGCTCAGTGGTTTGAGCATTGGCCTGCTAAACCCAGGGTTGTGAGTTCAATCCTTGAGGGGGCCATTTAGGGATCTGGGGCAAAAATTGGGGATTGGTCCTGCTTTGAGCAGGGGGTTGGACTAGATGACCTCCTGAGGTCCCTTCCAACCCTCATATTCTATGATTCTAAGTCTCTCTGGACAGGTACTTAGCAGTGGTGATCAAGTCCCCTCTTCACAAGTGAAATAGATTGTGCTTCTTCAGTCTTTCACTGTAAGGTAGGTTTTCAAGCCCTCAAATCTGTCTTGTTGCACTCTTCCAAACCCTTTCCAATTTTCCAACATCCTTCATGAGTTGTGGCACCAGAGCTGGACACGGTATTCCACTAGTAGTTTTACTAATCCCACATACAGAGGTAACATTATCTTCCTAGTAAATAGTCCTATTTATACAGCCAGGGAGCATTCTAGCTCATAGGAACTGCAGACTGGATCAACCACTGGTCCAGCTACTCTAGTACCCTATCTCTGACAGGGGCCAAAACAAGTTGCTTTAGAGGGTGGTGTAAGAACCCTTCAGTAGGCAGATGTAGGATAATATGCCCCCACATTGTGTCATAGAATATTAGGGTTGGAAGAGACCTCAGGAGGTCATCTAGTCCAACCCCCTGCTCAAAGCAGGACCAACACCAACTAAATCATCCCAGCCAGGGCTTTGTCAAGCTGGGCCTTAAAAACCTCTAAGGATGGAGATTCCACCACCTCCCTAGGTAACCCATTCCAGTGCTTCACCACCCTCCTAGTGAAATAGTGTTTCCGAATATCCAACTTAGATCTCCCCCACTGCAACTTGAGACCATTGCTCCTTGTTCTGTCATCTGCCACCACTGAGAACAGCCAAGCTCCATCCTCTGTGAAACTCCCCTTCAGGTAGTTGAAGGTTGCTATCAAATCCCCCCTCACGCTTCTCTTCTGCAGACTAAAGAACCCCAGTTCCCTCAACCTCTGCTCATAAATCATGTGTCCCAGCCCCCTGATCATTTTCGTTGCCCTCCGCTGGACTCTCTCCAAATTGTCCACATCCTTTCTGTAGTGGGGGCCCAAAAGTGGATGCAATGCTCCAGATGTGGCCTCATCAGTGCCGAATAGAGGGGAATAATCACTTCCCTCAATCAGCTGGCAATGCTTCTACTAATGCAGCCCAATATGCCGTTAGCCTTCCTGGCAACAAGGGCACACTGCTGACTCATATCCAGCTTCTCATCCACTGTAATCCCCAGGTCCTTTTCTGCAGAACTGCTGCTTAGCTAGTCGGTCCTCAGCCTGTAGCAGTGCATGGGATTCTTCCATCCTAAGTGCAGGACTCTGCACTTGTCCTTGTTGAACCTCATCAGATTTCTTTTGGCTCAGTCCTCCAATTTGTCTAGGTCACTCTGGACCCTATCTGTACCCTCCAGCATATCTACTTCTCCCTCCAGCTTAGTCATCCACAAACTTGCTGAGGGTGCAATCTATCCCATCATCCAGATCATTAATAAAGATAGGTTTCAGTGGTAGTCTTGTTAGTCTGTATCAGCAAAAAAAACGAGGAGACCTTGTGGCTCCTTAGAGACTAACAAATTTATTTGGGCATAAGCTTTCGTGGGCTAGAACCCACTTCATCAGATGTATGAAGTAAAAGATACAGGAGCAGGTATAAATACATGACAGGATGTGGGTTGCTTTACCAAGTGTTCTGTCAGTCTAACGAGGTAAATCAATTAAGAGGAAGTTACTCACCTTGTGCAGTGATGATAGTTCTTCGAGATGTGTTTCCCTATGGGTGCTCCACTTTAGGTGTCTGTGTGCCCCTGCACCTCTAATCGGAGATTTTTGGTAGCAGTGTCCCGTTGAGCCTGCGCATGTGCTCTCCCTCCCTCGTGGTCTGCCTCGAGGCTATTTAGCACAGCACAGGTGAACCCCCCTCACTTCCTTCTCTACCACAGAGCCCTATAGAGAACTCCAAAGTAGAGGGGAGGAGGGCGGGCTGTGGAGCACCCATAGGGACACACATCTCGAAGAACCATCATTACTGTACAAGGTGAGTAACTTCCTCTTCTTCTTCGAGTAGTGTCCCTATGGGTGCTCCACTTCAGGTGACTCCGGAGCAGTACCCACCACTGGAGGCTGGGACTTCGGAGCGGAGTCTTTTACTACGGCGAGTACTGTGGAGTTGAAGATGGTGTCAGTGGCCAAATCTTCAGTGATCACATAATGTTCTGAGAAAGTATGGACAGAGACTCCAATCATTGCTCTATAGATTGGGGAGATAGGGGTATCCCTATGGATTGTGATTGAGGTAGGAACTGATCTCATGGAGTGCGTATGGACAGAAGCAAGTTGCGCCCTTGCTAAGTGATTAATGCAACTAGAGACCCATTTGGATAGTCTTTGAGGAAATATCACAGAGCTTTTGGATCTTTCTGTGGACGAAAGGAAGAATTTAGGGGATTTCCTGAAGTCCTTAGTTCTGTCCAAGTAGAATGCGAATGTCCTTCTAGTATCTAGCATATCCACAATTGTCTCCCAGTTGTCACAATGTGGTTTTGGGAAAAAACAGGGAGATGGATCTGTTGATTCATATGGAAAGTGCAGAAAAAGTAGGGAGAAACTTGGGATATGGCCTTAGAGTGGTTGTTTATTTATTTATTTAAAGACAAAGGCCATGAATGATGGGTGTGCCATCAGGGCCGCTATTTCTCCTATGTGTCTAGCTGAGGTGATGGCAATTAGAAATGCTGTCATCATGGACAGGTGTAAGAGAGAACAAGTTGCCCTGGACTCGTAGAGAGGTCTAGTCCAAGCCCTGAGAACTAGATTAAAGTCCCAGGCTGGAGCGGGTGGTGTCACATGGGGGAAGAGAGTCCCAATGCCGTTAAAGAGTCTACGCATTAGTGGTTGAGCAGACTCCAAGTGGGAAGCCATTTTTGCCATGAGATGTACCTTAAAGGAGCTGAGTGAGAGTTTAAAAATGTAAAAAGAAAAGGAGTACTTATGCTCAAATAAATTGGTTAGTCTCTAAGGTGCCATAAGCTTTTGTGAGCTACAGCTCTGTAGCTCACGAAAGCTTATGCTCAAATAAATTGGTTAGTGTCTAAGGTGCCACAAGTACTCCTTTTCTTTTTGCGGATACAGACTAACACGGCTGTTACTCTGAAACCTTTAAAAATGTAGTGCAAAATCAGAGGGAGGAAAGATGAAGTTGGGTCTGTCCGTTTGGAATGGTACAAACTTGGAGTCATTTCCATTTTGTAGATAGGTATGTGGAGTGGTCAACTTGTGGTTGTGGTGCAACATGTGTTTCAGCTTGTCAGAGCATTCTGCTTCTAAGCCTTGGAACAAAGAAAGAGCCAAGCCTAGAGGCGGAGGACCCATGGGTTGGGGTGAAGGGTCAGCCCATTGTTTTGAGAGAGCGGGTGAGGAATGGGCTGACGTCAGAGGAACTGGAGGGCATATTGCCATCTGCATCAGGTAAGGGAGCCAGACTTGTCAAAGTCAAGAGGGGCAATCACAATAACTCTCGCTTTGTTTCATTGAATTTTCAACAGAATCTTGGATAGGGTAGGAAACTGGGAAAAGACATACAAGTGGGCCCTGTCCGCTGGGAAGATGAGGGCAACTGCCAGTGAATGTTTCCCCAAAGGGTGGCTATATCTTGAAGCACCTGTGAATTCAGTATACACTCATTGTCATGAGAAAATTCCAACTGAGACTGTTGGTTATCCCATTCTGTATCCCTTGTAGACAGACAGCTGAGATGAGCACATTGTGATGGGTGCATCAGTTCCAAAGTTTGAATGCTGTCTTGCAGAGGGAGGGAGATCTGGCAGCTCCTTGGCAGTTTATACAAAACATACAGGTCACATTAAGTCCATCATAACCTTTGTGTGTTGTTTTTGATGAAAGGCAGAGTTTGTGCACAGGCACTCTTGACAGCCCCTAGCCCCAAAAGAGTGATATGGAAGGTCATTTCTGTGGAAGGTCATTTGTCCTGAACCTTGTTGTTGTGTAGGTGAGCTCCCCAGCATGTTAGGGAGACGTGTCCCAGGGTGGTGAATGTGGGTAATGAGAGGAGCGCTCTTGCTTGTACTGCATCAGGTTGGTGCTGATAAAGTCCAGTCACTGTACCGGGGTTAGTATGCCACTACAGTGAAATGAACCTTGGAGACTACCCTGCATGGAGCAGCCTGTACCTATAATGATCCTGCCCCAAAGGTAAGCAGTGGGAATCTCCTGTGCAATGGTTGTATAGAGATATGGAATCATAGAATATCAGGGTTGGAAGGGACCTCAGGAGGTCATCTAGTCCAACCCCCTGCTCAAAGCAGGGCCAATCCCCAATTAAATCATCCCAGCCAGGGCTTTGTCAAGCCTTAAAAACTTCTAAGGAAGGAGATTCTACCACCACATATGGAATACCACCACATTCCAGTGTTTCACCACCCCCTTAGTGAAGAAGTTTTTCCTAATATCCAACCTAAACCTCCCCCACTGCAACTTGAGACCATTACTCCTTGTCCTGTCCTCTTCTATCACTGAGAATAGTCTAGAACCATCCTCTCTGGAACCACCTCTCAGGTAGTTGAAAGCAGCTATCAAATCCCCTCTCATTCTTCTCTTCTGCAGACTAAACAATCCCAGTTCCCTCAGCCTCTCCTCATAAGTCATGTGTTCCAGACCCCTAATAATTTTTGTTGCCCTTCGCTGGACTCTCTCCAATTTATCCACATCCTTCTTATAGTGTGGGGCCCAAAACTGGACACAGTACTCCAGATGAGGCCTCACCAATGTCGAATAGAGGGGAACGATCACGTCCCTCGATCTGCTCGCTATGCCCCTACTTATACATCCCAAAATGCCATTGGCCTTCTTGGCAACAAGGGCACACTGCTGACTCATATCCAGCTTCTTGTCCACTGTCACCCCTAGGTCCTTTTCTGCAGAACTGCTGCCTCGCCATTCGGTCCCTAGTCTGTAGCTGTGCATTGGGTTCTTCCGTCCTAAGTGCAGGGTCCTGCACTTATCCTTATTGAACCTCATCAGATTTCTTTTGGCCCAATCCTCCAATTTGTCTAGGTCCCTCTGTATCCTATCCCTGCCCTCCAGCGTATCAACCACTCCTCCCAGTTTAGTATCATCCGCAAATTTGCTGAGAGTGCAATCCACACCATCCTCCAGATCATTTATGAAGATATTGAACAAAACCGGCCCCAGAACTGACCCCTGGGGCACTCCACTTGACACCAGCTGCCAGCTAGACATGGAGCCATTGATCACTACCCGTTGAGCCCGACAATCTAGCCAACTTTCTACCCACCTTATAGTGCATTCATCCAGCCCGTACTACTTTAACTTGCTGACAAGAATACTGTGGGAGACAGTGTCAAAAGCTTTGCTAAAGTCAAGAAACAATACAGCCACTGCTTTCCCTTCATCCACAGAACCAGTAATCTCATCATAGAAGGCAATTAGATTAGTCAGGCATGACCTTCCCTTGGTGAATCCATGCTGACTGTTCCTGATCACTTTCCTCTCATGTAAGTGCTTCAGGATTGATTCCTTGAGGACCTGCTTCATGATTTTTCCGGGGACTGAGGTGAGGCTGACTGGCCTGTAGTTCCCAGGATCCTCCTTCTTCCCTTTTTTAAAGATTGGCACTACATTAGCCTTTTTCCAGTCATCTGGGACTTCCCTCGTTCACCACGAGTTTTCAAAGGGAAGTAGGCACCCTGTAAGTTCAGGGCTAGAAATCAATCTCTTTGCTCTAGAGCTGGTCCTAACTGCAGTGAAGCAAGGTAAGGTGACTTCTGACTGGCGTGACAGGTGTATAGATAGCAGCTGATGCTGTAAGGTATCATTGTTCAGGCCCCCGACCAGCTCATCAAAGTGCTTATAAGAGGCAGTTTGAGAGATTATGGACTGGGGTGCAGACAGTTCTCACTTTTGAGCCCTGGGCCTCTTACACTGTGGTTCATAACAGCACAGAGATGGTGAGTATTGAGAAGATTGTGATCTATGGTGTGGTTGAGAGGTATATCTTCTCTTCTGTTCCACAGTGTAGATTCCTAAGGAGTGTAGTGCGGTCCGAGAATCCTTCAGGATGTGGAGAGAAAATCTGTCTTCTCCGCAAAGAGTTTGGCCCTTCAAATTGGAAGTCTGTAGCTCTTTGGGCAATCTAGAGAGGTGTAATGAACAAAAAAAAAAAAAAAAACAAACAAACACACAACCCACAACCGTACCACTGTCATGGAGACTGGGCGGACAGCTGTAACAGTTACATCCAGTAATGTCTCTAGGACCGGTCTGTCTATTAACTGACCTTCTCTAAGAATGGTCTGAATCTGTTCTTTTTGTGTTTCCAGTAATGTTTCAGAAACATCCTGGGTTTCCCAAGATTAACAAAATTGTTCTGGCCATGACAGTTTGGTAATTTATGACTCTAAACAGTAATGTTGTTGATGAATACGCCATCTTGCGAAGCCTGATCATATGGATTTGACTTGGCATTATGTTGCTCGCTTCATGCATTAACCACATCCACTGTGATGGAGTTGGGTTGCGGATGTTGAAAACAAAGTCTGCCTCTTTGGGTAGAGATGTAGGGTTGTTTTTGTTTACACTCTGTTGCTGGTTGGGTGCGATGGAGGCTGGCTCTGCCAGATGATTTTGGTAGGATCTAGAATCAGCTCATTAATTGGGAGGACAGTTCTAGATGAGAAGGTAGCGTGCAGACTTTCCACCAACTTGTGATGTGTATCTGCCACCTCCTTTAAGGGAATCTGCAGCTCATCTGCCACCCTCTTGGTAAGATCCAGAAAGTTCTTAAATCTTCATCTAGTGATGAGAGGTGGGCAGCACAGTCTCATCTGGGAGAGATGAGGAAAAGTGTGCTGAAGAGGTTGCTTCCTTTTCAGGTGTGGTTTTTTTGTTTGTTTGTTTTTCCCCTTCCTCCTTCTTCCCTGTTCTGAAAAAGCTCTCTCCTGTCCTGGCTCAGGTGCTCTCCAGCCCTGGCTCAGGTGCTCTCCAGCCCTGGCTCAGGTGCCAGGCTGTAGCAAACCATCTGGTGGACTCTCCCTGAGAGACGGTCACACCATGTGTGTGTATATACACCCAAAGAGTTACAATATGGCCTTGGGAGGGAGAGGCAGGCACGGGCAGTTGGCGTGATGGAATTGGGGATGACCCTTTGTGATGTTATTGACTTGAACTGGGACCGTATATAACATTGTTGCCACCAAGGTCCTGTAGTGGCACCAAATCTTGTATAAAGGGGGTCAAATAAGGTGTCTAAGATGAGGTTATGGTTTGCTGGTTAGGATTATGCTATCTGTTTGCATATATCTTTAAATACAAAAATGATACAAGTATTGGCTCTATACTGTGTGTATTCCAAATTTATGCTATGCTTCTGGGTGACAATCAGCCAAGTTGGTGTAAGCTCTGCCTAGCCTGCTTGATGGCCCATTAAGGACCATCAGCTATACAAGTGACCCATTGAGAGAAGGTAGACACGCCTCGTGACTCAGCAAGGTATGCAGGGACCTGCCTATGGACAGAACTCTGAGGTTTTTCCTGACCATGTGATGGACAGCTTGTCCTTGGGACAAAGAAAGAAAGACCACATGGCAGGAGAATATAAAAAGCTGCTGCAGCTCCTCCATCTTGTCTTCAATCCTGCTTCTTACCTCTGGAGGAACTTTGCTGCACTGAAGCTTTGAACCAAGGACTGAATGACCCATCCCAGCTGTGGATGTACTCCAGAGACTTGATCTGAACCTGCAGTTTATTCCATCACTGCTGCAAGCCTGAACCAAGAACTTTGCCATTACTGTATGTAATTGATTCCATTTAATCAATTCTAGCTCTCATCTATATCTTTTTCCTTTTATGAATAAACCTTTAGATTTTAAAGGATTGGAACAGCATGATTTGTGGGTAAGATCTGATTTGTATATTGACCTGGGTCTGGGGCTTGGTCCTTTGGGATCAAGGGAACCTTTTTTCTTTTACTGGGGCATTGTTTTCGTAACATTCATCCCCATAACGAGTGGCACTGGTGGTGATCCTGGGAAACTGGAGTGTCTAAGGGAATTGCTTGTGAGACTTGTGGTTAGCTAGTGGGGTAAAACCAAAGTCTTCTCTGTTTGGCTGGTTTGGTTTGTCTTAGTGGGCATAGAAACCCCAGCCTTGGGCTGTAACTGGCCTGCTTTAAGCAGTTTGTCCTGAATTGGCACTCTCAGTTAGGTCCCTCCAGAACCAGCCTTGTTACACCCTTGTAGTGTGGTGGTGGGCCACCTTGAGGGGCCAGGGAACGAGCTTCTCCTGGCCAGTGTCAGATTTGTCAGTTGGTAAGGGTGCCACTGACTGGGGTATTGGCAGTATACAGCCCAGTGCTAAGAGCGATTCTGGTTGCCGGGACGTGCTCGCTACCAGGGTCCTGGTACCAAGTAATGGGGATTGTGTTTCTTCCCCAATCATCAGGTCTCCAGGGTACCAGAGCTCATGCAGTACCATGGGTTCATTTGGTACCACAGAGGAAGGTCCGTGGTACATTGTCAGTACCAATAGTTGGGCAGAGCACTCCCTAAATGAGAGTTTTGCCCAGTACAAAAAGTTCGTTGGTGCCACTTTTTTAGAGACGGTATGGTAATTGTCTCTTCCTGGGTACTGAGACCACAGGTCTCCAGAGTATCAGAATACCTGTGTTACCATGGGCTCATCCAGAACCCCAGAGGAGTGTCTGTAGTCGGTATCAATGGTTGGGAAGGTGCAGAACACTTCCTAGATGGGAGTTTTGTTGGATCTGGTACCAAAGGGTTTCTATATGCTGCTCTTTTAGAGATGGTATGGTAACTATCCCCTCTCCTTAGGGATACCATTGCCTCAGAGCATGACAGTGGAAGCCTCTGGTATCTGGGTGCCGTAGCAGAGCTGACAGCAGGGCTTCTCTGTGTCGCTCTTTTAGAGATGGTATGGTAACTGTGCCCTCTCGGCAGTAGTTGCCCAGAGCAGAACTGAGAGCAGCACAGAGCTTACAGAAGCCCCTTGTCAGGAAGGAGAGCAGAGCTCAGAGCAGGACAGAGCTCACAGCAGGAAACCCCTTCTCAGGTTTCAGCTACCAGAGCTTCGGTGCCAAACCCCAGCAGCAGCTGAGCTCACAGCAGGAGGTTCCTCTGCTGGTATTATCCTACCGAGATGGCCAGATTGCTGAACTGGGGAAAACCCCTCTGGCTGGCCAGTTGCTCCGAGGAGCCTTTCCAGGGGGAGTCTGTTGGTGGCTTCTTCTTTCTCTCTCCTCCTCTTCACCACTCGACTCCTTTTGAAGTGAAGGCTCTGGGGATGATCCGGGGTCAACACCCACAGGAGTCCCTTGCAGACTGAAGTGTTTTCTCTATAGGGAGGAATTTTTACTTCAGCTCCCAGCTCCTGTGAGGCTGCAGTTTTAGGTGTGGCAGCTAAAGCACTTCTGTGAGGGTCTCCCAGGCAGTGAGTGTCTGGCCATTACAGGAAATGACTTCTGGCAGGAGAGGCACTGCTTGGAGCAGAGAGAGCCAGTCAAGCCCCTCTAGCAGGGAGGAATATGCCAAAGAACATTATCTTTACTTTTGGGTTTTTTTTAAACTGAAAAAGAAATAATTATGAGCCTACTAGATGCCAGGGGAGCGGGGGGGAAATGCCCCCAGACAGGGAAGGAAAGTGAAGTTCTTTTCCTTTTTCTCTTTTCTTTTTAAACCAAAGGAATAAAACAAAACAAAACACTAGCCTGAGTACTTTTAGGGAGAACAAAAGGTAACAAAACAAACAAACACTACTGAGGCCAAAGGCGGTAGAGAAGGAAGAGAGGGGTTCGCCAGTGCAGTGCAGGCTCAACGGGACACTGCTACCAAAAATGTCCGATTAGAGGTGCAGGGGCACACAGACACCTAAAGTGGAGCACCCATAGGGACACTACTCCAAGAAGAACAGCAGGATACCAAGGAAGGAGAAATAACTTTTGAAGTGGTAAGAGAGTGGCCCATTATAGACAGTTGACAGGAAGGTCAATAAATAATAAAGATGTTGAACAAAACCGGCCCCAGGACTGACCCCTGGGACACTTGGCTTGATACCGCCTGCCAACTAGGCATCCTGATCTCTAATAAAGTTTGGCTTAAGCCTTGAAGCACATGGTTTAATATTACTTCCACAACATTTTATAGTAATTAATTATGGCAACTGGATAGTCTTGATATCCATATAGTCATCTCATTTTTGGCTCTTAAGTTCTTGGCCTCAGCAACTGCATGTGGCAGGGAGTTCTGCAGTTTTATTTACAGATTGTTACAAAAAATATTTCCTTTTATTGGGTTTGTTTCATTGACTGTGCCTGGTTCTTGTTATGAGACAGGGAGAAGAGAAGTTTCTATTCTATCTGATGTATTTTTATCATGGCCCCGTCTTATTGAGCTCCTTTCTAAGGTAACAGTCCTAATCTTTTTAATTACTCTTCTGCTTAGTTTCTCCAGGCCCTTCATCATTCTTGCTGCCCTTCTCTAGCTCTGCAATATCCTTTTTGAGATGGGGTGACCAGTACTGCACACAGTTTTCCAGCTGAGGTTGCACCCCTGATTTATATAAAGGCATTATAGTAGTGTTGAGCTACGCATTGAACAGAGGTTTTCACTGAGCTGTCCCATTATGGTGCCCAGGTCCCTTTCTTGGGTTGATACACTTTACAGGGTTCTAAATTAACTGTAAGGAGTAGTTTAGTAATGCAAGAACTCTTAGCCACAGCATTGCACCATGACTCCCCAAGTCTTTTCAGAGTTGCTGCTTTCCAGGATACAGGGCCAATTTTAAAAGCTAGCTAGGGTGTTTAAAGGTGAAGAGGGGCACCTACTGGGATTTTCAAAAGCGCATTAATTCCCAGAAGTGTTAGGTATGTAGGCACTTTTGAAAATACCACATGGTGCCTAAATACCTTTAAAAATCTGGCCTTCGGTCCCCCATTATGTAGTGACCTAAATTCTTTGTTCCTAAATGCATCACCTTGCATGCGACTGTATTGAATGAGCCCAGTTTACCAAGCAATCTAGATCATTCTATATACATGACCTGCCCTTATTGTATACCTCTTCACAATCTGTCTCTTGCAAACTTTACCAGCAATGAGTTTATCAATGATCTGAAGGACACTATTCAATATCTGCAGACTATTGGGCCAAGACCCCTGTGGGACCTTATGAGAAACACAGCCACTCTCTTTTAACAGTTACTTTGAAGTCTATCAATTAGCCAGTTTTTAATGCACATAATATGTTAGATTACGATTCTTACTAAAAATCACTACAGCACTATAAACATTTTTGTTAATACTTATTTAATTCAAATGAATAACATTTTGGGGAAGAAACATGTTAAAGATCCAAATACTTCCATGCCTTCAAATAGATATCTGATAGGTCTTATAGCAAATTTAGGGGACACCAGAGTGGACTCTTCTAAAGCAAAACATAGGCAGAAAACTATCTTTAAAAAAAAAAAGTGAACCCAAATCCCTTTCAAGCCTTTTTTATCCATTGCAAAGAAGGGGCACAAGCCCCATGTTATAAAAATTATTTGCAGGTCACCTTTAATCTTGCATTCCCATCTATTCCAGAGCTGCAGCTGGACAGTAGCAGTAACCCAATGGCAAACCTAGTCAAAGCTGTAACCTGCTTAATTTTGGCAGAGGTGCTTAAACTTTACCAGGCAGAGTTCTGCGCTGGCAGGAGGCTGCAGGCCACATGCCATTGGCAAAAGAGGCAGCTGACAGCACTTCCTTTCTGTGTTTTAATTCTGAGATAGTGACAGCATTCAGGCTGCAGCTCTGAAAACTGGAAGAGGTCCTTGTAACGGGGTTAGGACTCACCACCGCTGGTGCCTCCCACTGGCTGCTCCGGGAATTAGCTCTGTCCAGTCATGGAGCATCTTTTTCACATGGTGCCTTGCCCCTCATCTGCTCTGCTGCTTTGGGGACCCTCATTGCTCCCCGCTCAGCAGCATCCTCTTCAGGACACTGCCCTTCGGCAGTGCCCACTGCTCCGGTCTCACCCCCTTCCTGGGGTTTGATGTTATCAGCAGCCCACGATCTGCACCAGTTGTAGTGGCCGGCTGCAGTCTCTAAGTCTAGCCCCTTATTGCAGGGCCCAGCCACAGCCTGGATCGGGCCACGCTCCTCTTCAGCCCGGTGTAGCACAAGGGGAAGGGGGGGACCCAGGCCCACCTGCTACTCTGGGTTCCAACCCAGGGACCCTCTAGCGGGAGCCTCTCTGCCCTCCTTCTCTCCCCTTGCCCTGCTATTGTCCCTGGGCCACTTTCCCTTTGGCCCTATGCACCTGCCTGGCCTAGGCCAGCAGCCTGGGGTTTTCCTTGGCCAGAGCTCCCCAGCTCCTTCTGGCCTTCCCCAGCACTGCTCTGTCCAAGGTGCTTCCTTCCAGCAGAGGAGTCAGTCCTCCTCCCTTGACCACCAGGGAGAGACTCCCTGCTCCCTTCCTAGGCAGCCTTTATATATGGCTGAGTCTGGCTCTGATTGGCTGTCTAGCAGGCCTTCTCTGATTGGCCGCCTACCTGCACTGCCTCCCTGGCCTGCTGAAGCCCCATCTAGGATAGGGGTGGGGCAGCCACCCCACTACACACCCTCCCCCTTAAGGACGCTCTCGGGGGGGGGGGGCACTAGAGACCCCCGGTAGGGGAGCCTTGGGCCCACCCTCCTTCACCAGGCTCCGACCCAGGACCCTGTCATTGAGGGGGTGATCCACTCCGGGTCAGCAGGGAATCCTACCACAACACGCTGCCCTCATTGTGGTGGGAGATACCACTCCCTTCCCTTTCCTGGGTCACTTCCTACCAGTTCTCCCATTGTAGCAGTCTCTTTGGCATCCGGGCCTTCA